ACAGCTGCTTTTTCAAATCCCCATTTTTCAAGTCCATTGTCATTCGAGTTGTCTCCCGTTACATACACTTACCTCACCGTTAACAAAGTTGTTAGAGCTACTGTTAATTCTTTTTTTATTATCTTTGTCTTATTTTTTATCATAAGTATGATAGTGCCTTGAAAAAATAAACCTAAACGAGTGGACTAGACTATTATCGCAACATTGGCACATTCTATTGTCTGACATAACGGTATCGGCGATTTCAATCTGACATAGTGCAAACTGACAAGGATTTTCGATGTATCATATGACGATATAGGGAATTAACATGAATGTTTTCAATAGTAGAAAGTATGTCGCTCATTCAGTAAATTTACCTGCTGAAATATTCATGAATCTCTACGAACTTGACGGACGCCGGCATGAAACTTTGCCTACGCAGGCCACGACTACCAACAACATTATCCAGAAGAAAGTGACGAGTCTAGCTTATGCACATTCCGCCATGACAAACACCGCTTTGTCAAACCCGATGTCAACACCGGCCTATAGTTTCGTGTTCTCGAATCATCATCCACCGAGTACACATTTACACCAGAGTATACTGTTATACATTCTCTCTCTGTAGAGTTTCTCAGGTTTGGCTTATTCGAAAATTAAACTATTTATTTCTGCAAATTTTTTTTATATACAAGATGGCTAAAGTTGATTAAAGCGGTAGTGGGAAATTTTTCTCTTGTGTGTTTCGAGGTTTCGGAAATGTCCTTTCGATTTTACAATTTATTACTACCGCTAATGTTGTATGTAAAACAATCACCCTTTCATACCTGCCTAAACAATAGAAAAAATCAGCTGTATTCCATATTTTAGTCATTATGACAATCAGACATGAGATTCAATAAGAAACAAATGAATTCAAATTCTAATTTCAGATCATAATTTCAATATTTGGTGAGAAGAATGTAGAACAAATGAATGAAAGACGTTGAGTTGAGCTGCAAATATGTCTTTTACAATGCGAAAATGCACCAGTGAATATAATTACTAATCCGGATTTCCTCCATGTTACATCTGTTCTAGACTTTGTTTGTCTCAATGACATATATTAAAATATTTTTTAAAAACTTACAATGGTAAATCGTTATCGACAATTGATCCAGTAGCATATCATTGATAAACTGTACTACAATAATTTGAATTTAAACACTTGTATTCAAAATGCATCACACTTTTCTCAGATAGTTAAAATATATAGACCGAAATAAGTATGAATAAATAGAGTTTTTCCAAGGTCTTATTCCATGATATGGTATCATCCAGCTATGTAAGAACTTATGTATCGCTACACCCTTGCTAATTTATACACTAAATAGTATTGACCGCGTACGTACAAAGAACTACATTTTATTACAATGTAAGATATTTTATTAATTAGAGTAGAAAAAAAATACCACAAGTCTTGTACCAGAATGTTGACGACGTTTTCCTGGAGTGTTGTATAGATTTCTTCTACATTTGTTCCTTATCAATTTACGTTATCAATATTTCATAACCGAATATGCTTTCGAGTTATAAACATATAGATCTAAACTTAAAATACATGTACGTCTTAAGTCATTTAAATGAAATTAATATGTAAAGACGACAAGTTTTCAGATTAATCAATTATGGTATGAAAATCAATTATGTATAAATTTATCCTAAATATATTTTCTTAACCCTTCGTGTTGTAAGGTCCGTAACCAACGTATATCGAAAGAATAGATTTATTCTAGATATTACATGAGTTTGCGCCATTATTAGCTACGCTCCATTTTGTAAGATCCATATCTGGTAGTGTGTCACATTTGACCATATGGTTGCTACAAAAGAATGAAACAGATATATTAAATTTCGAAGGATACTTAGCTGTGTTCTCAACAGTTCAAGTAGCTTCTTACTTTGTTTTCTTAATTCTAATAAAAACGAAGGGCAATAAAACTAATCTGAAGCAGCACTTCAATATTCAGAAATTACTAAAACTCTTCTTAATACATGTATCCCACATTTAGTAAAATTTACTTTTTACAGTGGCTTCAATTTTATAATGGAGACATCAAACGAGGCAGCTACATGTACGCAACAAAGATGCATTCATGTGTTTCTGAAGGATAAATATTAAATATTTTACTATATTTAAAAGTATGTATGATGAGTAGGGATATTCTATATAAACGTTAATTTGGATCACAACCAATGCTTTGAGGTTTGAGCCAAAACTCTGCATCCTCAGGTTGATATTCCCTAACTCAAACACATACGTAACGAATGAATATTTTGTAGTTCCGAGCCGGGTATTTTACATAGGAACTCTGTCATTCATAAGCAGAGTTTGGATAAAGTACACATGGTAATAATGCAGCCATTATTCATTAAACACAAGTTACTTTTACGACATATAGCTGAAAAAACGAAGTTTGCATATTCTTACCTGTTTTCATAACCTGGCTTACGGAACACGTTCGGCTGGATCTGGTCAAGGCCCTGGTTTCGGCACATTATTTTTGCTACAGATATTTTCTTAACTTCAAGCAACTGGGATGTGAAGATAATATAACCACATCTTAATACACATATCTAAAATGCGATGCAGAAAAAACTCAGTGATTAAACTAAATTCAGTCACGTTTAAATCAATTTCCTTGTGATTTAGTATTCAATAATCAAAATTGATATATGTGCTGTACATGTTTTGGTATATCATTCTTTAATAAACAATCCGTTCGAGTCACGCCACGGCACTGTGTTGTATCATTGAACAAGAAACTTTACCCCGCTTGTTCAAGTCAACTCAGCTGTAAATTAATATGTGGTTGGGCAGTGGTAGAATTGTAGAATGCTAGCTGTGAGCGCGATTGAGTTAAGAAAGATATTGGCTGGTTGCACGAGCCCTACATGTTTAACTACGGATAATCATTTATGAACGCTTTGAGACAACCTACAATATAGATGGTGATAGAGCAGTATATAGGAACCTCTAATGATTAGTATTTTTATTGTAATATAACTCCATGAACAACTTAAGGTAACGAGAACTTCTTGACGAATTATAATCGTGAATATGTGTTAAAGTTCACAACTGACATAAACCGTTTCCCTATAATACAAACGGATTACGTCCTTCAGCAAAATATTCATAGTAAATTGTGTAATAGGTGAATATTATTTCCTGCATTGCTATATTGCTCAACGCTTAACATTTTTGTTTGCTGCGACATAGCTGTGTCGGGTACATACAGCGGGCATCACATAGCGACGAATTACTATAATTAAACTATTAATAAATATACAAAATAAAATCTCCCTGAGGATTTGAGGTGACAAACGTCCCGATGATGCGTCGTATATATAATGAATAACAGAAGAATATCGGGATTAGTGTTCTAGTTATGAGTTGCAGATAAGTTATTTATTTGTATTTATTCTTTAAGAAAAGCATCATATGTATTGTGACTAAAAGAATAAAATGGATTTTGCGAGTAATATGTTTATTATTGACGAAGTACATTTTATTTTACGATTGCAGGATATGTTAAATCACTACAGGACTGGCTACATACCGTCAAATACAGTTAAATCAATTGTGTAAAAATGTGATAAAGAATGTATCACGATAATTAACAAGAGGCCCAGAGGGCCTATATCGCTCACCTGGATATCAAAGCAATCATGGCACAATATTCTCCAAGTGAGATCCAAGGGAATATGCCAGACCCCAAGGCCAATCCTTGTAGCATATCTGTATTTGATTTTTTATGCCCAGCAATTTTATGTATGGTTATGGGGTGGGGATCTCAACTGTTTCCAAGCTGTGACACATAAACTAGGTCCCTAGGGTTGTGGTCAGACCCCAGAATCAATTCTAATATCAAGACTGCATTCGTCTCTTTATGCCCAACAATTGTATATATAGTTTTGGGGTGGGGATCTTGACCGTTTCAAAGTTATGACCCAGGGGTTGAGTCTCCGAGGGTGGGGCCAGACCCTAAGGCCATCCTGGAAGTAAATGTGCATTCCTCTCTTTATACTCAGCAATTGTATATATGGTTATATGGTGGGGATCTCAACCATTTCCAAGATTATTCATTTTTTGCCCCACCCCTTAGCCCGGGGGGTCAGCCCCACCATTTGTTCAATTTTGAATCCCTACCTCCCATGAATGCTTCCGACCAAATATGATCAATATCCATGGTATAGTTCTACGGAAGAAGTCGTTTATAGCAATATAGTCAAATTGCCCCCTTTTGGCCCAGCCCCCAGCCCCCAGCCCCCTGGGGGGTCAGCCCCACCAGTTGCACAATTTTGAATCCCCACCACCAAGGAATGCTTCCAGTCAAATATGGTTGATATCTACTTCTTAGTTCCAGAGAAGAAGTCGCTTAAAGTAATATAGCTAAATAACCTTTTTTTGCCCCGCCCCTCAGCCGCCATGGGGTCAGCCACACCATTTGGACAATTTTGAATCCCTGCCTCCCATGAATGCATCTGATGAAATATGATTGATATCCAGTGCATCGTTCTACAGTACAAGTCGTTTGTAGCAATATAGCCAAAATGCCCCCTTTTGGCCCCGCCTCTCAACCCCATGAGGGGTCAGCCCAACCATTTGTACAGTTTTGATTCCCCACCACCTAGGGATGCTTCCAGTCAAATATGGTTCGTATCCATCTCTTAGTTCCAGAGGAGATGTCGCTTAGAGCAATAAAGCCAAATTGCCCCCTTTTTGCCCCGCCTCTCAGCCCCCTGGGGGTCAGCCCCACCATTTGTACAATTTTGAATCCCCACCACCTAGGGATGCTTCCAGTCAAATTTAGTTAAATTCCAATCAGTGGTTAAGAAGAAGAAGTCGTTTAAAGAAATTGGTTACGGACGGACGGACGGCTGGACGGACGACGGACGACGGACGGATGGACGACGGACGCAACGGTATGGCATAAGCTCACCTTTGTCCTTCGGACCCGGTGAGCTAATAATGGTAATCAAAGTTGCCTGATTTTTTTGTACTTGCCCTTCGTAAAACCAGTTCCTCCTAAATGTTGTGGCGGTTGCTCATACCAGAATCTGTCTCCAATTTTGAAGTTTTTAAATTGCCGTCCAAGCATACATGCAAACGTTGGTCCGATTCCACCCCCTTCTATGTGTGTCTCTGTGATGCCGCCAGCGAACAGATCGATGTCGTCAACATCCCTGAAACGTAACATTTTATACGTGAACCATGAGAGGGAACCATAGAGCAACAGTTATTACTACTTCTTTGTTTACATCTTTTCATGTAGTCTGCGGACGATGCATTGTTATATTTTTGACGCTGTGCCTTCTGGAACATCTGGTCTTATTTTCCATGTACATTTTCAAGAATATTTACGTAAATATTTCCCTTCTTCATATTGTGCGATAGTTTTATAGATTTTGAGTTATAGTTATGTGGGCCTTCCAGGACTATGTTGATTATTTAAGTTTCTTTTCACCTTAAAGACACGTATTTATCACGAATGTAGCTGTGTTCATACATATATATTAAGTGAGTTTACAAGATGAACAATATTTAAGGAATCATGTACAATTGTTAAATATAATATCCGTTATTTTATATGTGACTAAAAAAAGATTGTCAAAAAAGTGTGCCAGTCTAGTGTTAAAACCATGAAATATATGCGGTTGACATCACATGTTGAAGCAATTGTAAACATTAGTTATGTACGAACAGGCAATATAATTTATCTGATTACTGCAGCTAAAGCTAAATATTCTTGTTTGGAACATGGTTAGGTTCGCACATAATATAGCGTATTTCGATTGTTTTGAGAACGAAGTAAAATAGCAAAACTGGTAAAAAACGTTTTTTTAAATGATGTCATTGCCTTCATATTGGGTTGAAAAATCACAGATATATAAACATGACTTTCCCAGATACTTAGCACAGATAACAACTTCCGATTATCTGTTTGGGTTAATCAACAACAGGGTACATGACAAATGAATAAAAGACATTAAATTCCCGCATATAGTTCATACATGTACTAGACATATCATGTATATAACGCAAATAAATCTTAAACAGTAATAATAATCAATAGTTCACATACTGATAAACGTTGCCAAGTCGCATTGCATTGTCGGGAGTGTGATTAACCAGGCCACCGGCGTTGGAGCCAAAGTGGGTTGCCCGTGGAAGGTTACACCACCTCCTCCAGTCGTTGTAACCAGGGGTGCCGTGGTCACGTCCTCTTTGAATATTTAAAGACGGTAGATCGAAACTGTCTCCATTGCTGTCCACAAACAGTAAGTCAAGGATAGCTTTCTCAAATATCCTGTGGAAAAGATACATTTTACCAATTTGTTTAAACTTAAGCATTTTGAAAAAAAATAAGTATATCATAATACAAGCATATACTGTACATAGAAGCATATACTGCAAAAGTATCTATATGTCAAATTAAACGAGATAATGCATTTTGTATGTGAACATCGTTTTCTTCAAAGCTTTTCTTAAAATAATCTTCTTGTTAATGGCCACATTTAAATAAGTTGTAAGGGTTTATGGCCAAAGTAATATATCATTAAAAGTATTAAATTTAGCAATCATATGCTTTGTTTGACTATCATAAATGTTCTTTGCGATTTCTAATAGCATACCTATCCTGAAAGAAGCCTTATGAATACGCTTTATCGAATGAGCTCAAGATAAATTCTCGTTTGCCGAGTCGGCTAGTGATTTACTAGGGTGATAATTATCGTATTTACTCTTCAAAATGAGACGAATCACTGAATTGCTTATCATGTGTTTTCTGTAGACATCACGACCATACAAAACCCGGACACTTGTCTACAGTTGATGACGGCATACATCACGTGGTAACTACATAGTTATAAAACGCTTCTTGAGATATTTTGAATAAAATGTTAATTTCAGTAAAACAATGAAAACATTTCAAATATCGTTAAACACAAATTATTTCCCGACTCGTCTTCAAAACATTGCTTGACAGCTTACTTGTGTTTTTTAAGATACGTGTTATGAAAAATACATTACCTATCCATGCGACCTGCAGGACCTACAGTCATCCACCTAGTCATGAAATATTGGTTTGTACCGTTAGCCTTCTGTATCAGAAATGGCCTATTAAATGTTGTTTCTGTTTTAAACTTTTCTATCGTGACCAGGTCGTCATTCATCAATCCTTGAAAATGAGGAATCAGTGTATGTCCAAAACGAAATACAGCGACATCAAAAGCGTTACCAGTGGCGGCATTCACGGTCTCATCGTACACATCTGAATGGCATGGCGCATTGTTAAGCCCATAATTCTTCATCAGCTTTTCATTTAGTAGAACGGGTAAAAATTCACCGTATGTTATTTGTTGGTTGAATGCTGATATGATCTTTCTTGTTTCTTGAAAGATGATTTCATCTGTCCACATAGGATTGATATTCGTTAATTCGTTTGCAATCCTAGTATGATCACGTAGAAATATGATGTGAGTTGTGCCCAGACTTGGAACTGTGTTAACACGTTCATCACCTACAGAACAAAAGACCAAATGACGAAGTGGTATTGGTGTTTTTCTTAATGATATAATCATTACAACAAATAACTATATAGCATCGATAATTCGTTTTTGAATACTCATACCTGAACTTGTACCATGTATTTAAAGGCATACTCAATTAAAGAAAAAACACTTCATGAAGGTTATGTAATAAATTGAAATGTAACGATTACTTTTTAGTAACGTTACTAATAAAACTAGCAGCTTGATAGTGCAAAATATGATACCCACGCCTCGAATACGAGCTGATTGGAATACAATGATAAAGGAAATAAGAATGATTGTACACTGATGTTGAATCTTGAAATCAAAACGCTGCTTTAAAATGGTTCAATTACAACTCAGCGATGAAGTAAAAGAGTTACCTGCATGGTAGCAGTAATCGTTTGGACTTTGGTCTATTACACAGCCTGTTGGCCTACCCGGTAATCCGTTCCCTTTCATTTTCAGCCCACCTGTTAAAATAATTAAAAGCAGGTTTCCATAGATAACTTTCTGCAAAGAGATTGATTAGTTGATAATTTGCATGATTGTTTATTTTGACCAACCTGCTGACTTATTCGTAATATTGTCAGTTTAACATTTTCTAATTGCATTATTGTTGGGGCTCCGCACCGATTCATGGTTTATTTTTCACTCAATTGTATCAATATGTATTTTTATACATTCCACAAATAATAATCTGGAGATGTAATCAGGAAATCGGTAAAATTCCAATGCCAAGATGCGATTTATAACAGCCATTGTGACGAAGGTATGCACTACCTTATTATATTAACCTTAAAAGTCAGAATAATGTGATTAAAATTTCTGCGCTAATCTTGCTTAGTAAAACGGGGTATGCTTAATCTCGCCCACTAGTTTGTTTTCGCTTAAAACCTCAGGTAATTTGGTCTCCATCATAATAAATGATTTCATATTGATCGATACTGATATGTTCAATTCAGGTGTTCTATCATTAGACTGACCGATTAATTAATTCAATTTTAAGCGAACAGATGACACACATACATTAGTTAAGCATCAGCTAGGTTAAACCTAGCTCATTGATTATGGATTCGCCCCAATGGTAGACTGCGGTGGGGAAATCTCAACATTTTGAAGGCCAATATGATTTTGTGATGCCTTTTTCGATGTTCTGTATATTAATGAGATAAGTTCACCTGTTATAGGGATAATAATATTCTAATGTAAGCTATTATTTTCATTCACAGCCCCTTTGGAGGAATATAGGTAACGGTACATACATCTTTTTAAGACTCTGTCATGTCCAGGAGTGTACATTTGAAAATCCCGAGGGAAGAATTTCCCTATCCTACACCCATGGACATGAAAGAGTATTTTTCTCTCATTCCAACCACCAGAATAAGCTCAGAAACCATGAAAACGCGTTTGGACTGGCCACAATTTTGAAAATATCAATTTCCCCCCAGAGCTTTTTAGCTCGAAAACAAATCAGCATGCCGGATTAAGCATATCCCATATTGACAAACAGAGTTTGCACATGAAAATTAATCACATCTTTCTAACGTGTAAGGTAAATATATCGTAAAAGGTTTATAATTTCATCACGTCGCTTCATCCGCATTGCGGCATCGGAGAGTTCCCAATTCATGACGTCACGTCAATGTCGAGTCATTGTGACCTCACGCCACGTGAAATTGTGTGTAAGATAGAAATTTCCTACACCCCTTTCTTACCCTGGACAGCTCTATCTTACACACATGGAAATGAGAGAAAATGTAATATACAACTCCTCATAATGCAACCATATTATGATGGTCCTAATATGAATTTTCTGTGTTCCTGCATATCATATAGGAAAAAAAATCAATTATTGCCCAAAGGATAACGTTTAACAACAAGTAGAAAGCGTTTTATTTACACAATGAAATAATCATACAGTATATGTTCAATGGTACTCGATGAGTTGACGTACATGCTCGTGTACATTTTGATTATGGTAAACTCGTCAATAGACTACCTCAGTTTTGCTAGTTACTAAGCGTAATCATTTAAGAGGAATGTATCAAATAACCTTTCTGAAAACAGGAAGTTGAATTTCATATTTTTCTCTTCGTCCTTCACCAAAATATTATGCATACCATGATATTTCGTCCTTAGCGAATCCTGTTGATCCTGTGTAGACCCGTACACATTGGAAGCATCTATGTACGACGTGAGAGAATTTAGCTGTTCGCGTTGTCCTGTGTTGTAATTTAAAACAAATTGAAAATACACGTGAATGTCATGAAGTATAGTTATTAAAACAATTATACATTGTCGATAAACATTGCGTGATATCTTAAATATATAATAAATTAAATATTCTTAAATTAAGTAGTGTATAGATGTTATTATTCGGTGTCAACGTTGTTGATCGACATCTGTGTAGATGAAGCAAATATAAATGCAATTATCGGTGTAGACTCCGGTACATGTTTGAAAAACCCGCTAATTATGCATTTGAATTTATAAAATGTGCGCATATGAGGGACTACAAAAACAACTTAAAATGTTCTATCGCCTGTATATTTAAATAACAAGGACCTTTAGAACGTTTAATTAGTTTTATACTTGTTAATGCAAAACTTTAATGGGTTTTCTTAAACACTAAAATCTATTAAGAAAGTTGTATACATGTCTATATGCATATTCATATTCAATGCATTTATTTGTTCAATGCGACAATACGAAAATTTCACAACGCAAACATTTACAATTAAAAATAATCTATCCTTACTTTAGTACTTTTGAAATGGTCACTAGATATGAAATTTGCGAAAAATTAATTGCGCGGAATTAACAATTATAGAAAATTTGAGAAATTTCGGGACCGCAAAAAAAACAAATAGTAAAAAAAGTATGTTTGTATTTGTTCTTAAAACTTTTTTTTTTACATGTAGATTAATTTGTATGTTCGTTTACTTGTTTTTCTTTTGAACATTATAGATCTTACTTGGTATTCGATTGATCTAACATCTTTCCTATCGATCATATAACACAGTATGAAGTATTATATTGTAAATCTAGCATTTGACCGATATAGATGTACGCCAATCGTTTTCGGTGGAGATTTTCTCTTTACCTGGCATGCAGTCCAAACCCGTACTAGCAGTTGATCTAGAAAACGGCATACATGTTTTGTTGAAATGAGCATCATTCGATGGTAAAGCTATTGGGAAGCAGTCTGGTCTATTGTGAAAAATAACATTACATTACATATTAAAGATAACATATACCTGTAGCCTGGTCCATTTCAAAGAGTGAACTTTCAATATATATGTATCTAGATCTTCAATATTTTATTTTTAAACAAATGTAAGGAAATGTATAAATATTTACATTTCTTGGCATTTTTGATTGTCTTTGATTGTACAAATGTGCAAAAGAGTCTTAAAACATAATAGTAAACGTTATTTAAAACAAAAACGCACATTGAATCTGCATCAGGTCCACAGCAATCAAGCTCCTCACCGCCAGGGCCTATAATATAGCCATTGAAACAGTACAATAGCAACGTTAGCAAAGACCAAACAATTGCAAAGCTCAGAGATACTTAAAAATCGAATCTTGAATTGAAACAAAAAGACTGCAACAGAAACTGCGGGGTTATGAAGACAAACGGATGGAGGCCATGGCTCCTAGGAAAACCCTCGGCGAATCGGCGAATGTTGATAAAAGATTATTGTATACCGATCAATAAGTTCATGTGTATAAGACACAATAAACAAGGTTTAAATCATGAAAGACATAAAAATGTTAAGTGGGAAATCAGGTCATGCCGACAACCGTAGTGTCTATAGTGTGGTTTGACGTCTGTCTGGTAGATAGCCATAGCTAAGTAGCTTATCGGTCCACAGGACATTCTTTTGATTAGGTTTAATGTCATCGTCACGGCTTAGGTGATATGAAACGGCCACCTAAGGAGAATTCGCCAACAAAAGGGAACAGGGACTGTCACTTTTAAATCTTCTTCACGGCAAGTTTGGGGGACTGAACTCCGTGATAAATAACGACCAATCGTAATAGCACAAATTTCATCGTATAGATTAAGATTTATATTACTCTGAGTTATTAACATAATCCAAAAATAATGACTTTTTCGAAAACGCGAAATAAAGGTAGGCGAAAACAACGATATAAATCTCACGTTTTCTTAGATAATCTTAGCGATAAGTCCACACATATTGGCTTACGCTTTATGTTTACAAAGATATTAAATAAAGTATTCATAATGCATGTCCTTAAACAACAAACGCAAAAATAAAATATTTGTAAGTGTGCAAATATTTTATTTTAAAATGACATTTTGGAAAGTTGGATAAACTTCATCTTAAGAATATCATGTTCCTTTTAATCTTTGTCTCCATTTCGTGATACATGATGACGTTACAATGAACGTTGTTTTTAATCTAGCCAATCGTTACCCCATATTGAAGATGTTTCCATGGGTTCTTTTATGATTTATTAATATATCTAAAATAAATAAACATAACTACATACCTGACGAGATTGGTGTTCTGATGAAGTCATGGTCGATGAATTGACCCCAGGCCATCACCATTACTGTTTTGTCTGGTGACGGTTTCGGGTCAGTGTTGTCACGGAATACTTTGTTGCTAACTTTACGTGCAGAAGGTAGTGGCAATCCATTCTTTGCCTATGTCTGGGTTCTCCAACCCCTGAAGTATTTCACACGTGGTATTGGTGAAAAGGGAGCATAACATTCAGTAATATTTGGTTTACCAAATTTATGTTGTGTTATATAACCTCTATAACGTAGTCATGAATACATTCTGAATCATTTAACGTAAATGCACCCATGACACAACAATGCAGTTTTGAAACGTTTAAATTCGAACGGGTAAGTTAACGCAAGTGCACCAATGATACAACAATGCAGTTTTGCAACGTTTAAATTCGGACGGGTAAGTTTTGTAAAAATCTTAACTGCCCATTATCATGGCCATTACACCTTTGAAACCATCATTTTGCAATGTATTTCACTTTCAAATACGTAAATAACATATGATTTCTGAAGACACACATATATTTTAATAATGCAAGTCATTGCTTAGCAACTAGTAACTTATTCCCATGAAATATTCATACTCTGTATATTATTCCCGTTAAATATGTATACTCTGCATTTTATAACAGTTACATGTATATGATATAAGAACATATGGACCGTATTTTGTATATTTCTGAATTTGTCATTTTGTAATTAATTTCAGTTTTCCTTTGACGTAACATCACAATGAAAACAAAGCCACTACATTCACTTCCTAACGTAAGTTGTACTATATCAGATTACGCATCAAAAAAATGTACGTGTAACACATTAGTGGGGCAAGGTTATTGCATACTTGTGATAACGAATTGATTTCTTTTCTTCAATAAGCAACATATTTTAACACTCTTTTTATATTTGTACATTGTAAAGTGTTCAACTGTAAAATTGTTTTCTAAAGAAACATCGATTCATTCGGTATAAAGGTGGTGTAGTTGTTGCTGCAGCTGTTGTCACGTTATGTACCGCGAAAGCAAAAGCAGAGATTGCTGATACAAACACTATAGTTATGAATGTGACCGCATTCACATCGACTGTATACTGCATCTGGTAACAGTTCAATGCTTATATTTACATTTATAAGTATAGAGTTTGTTTTGTATAGTAACTGAAGCATAAATACGTTTGAATTTCCCGCTTATCATATCAGTGACGTCAGTAAGTTCAAATCCCAGAACAGCCGACATTTCCAGAAGAAATAATATAGTCCCTCGTGTCATTGAAAACCACACGCACATAAAATAGTTTGAACACAAATTTAACTTTATTATTTATTTCATTTGAGTGTGTTTATGTTGAAAAATTGTTAATAATTGCATAACTTCTGCTCGTTTAAAATTAAAGCTGTTTTTCGCGCATTGATAGATTACATGTATTTTGAAGTGATGCGGCGCTGAACGGACTTGATTGGTTTCCTCGGAAACGCTTATGTTTCCTTCGACTGGAATATTACGTTATTATCAGAAGCATATATACTCGGAAACGTTTAATTAAAGTGGTCCTTTCAGTATGTGATAACGAATCCAAGGACATTTTGTTTGAAATAGATTCCATGTCTAATCAGTCAGATTAGCATCGCTAGCAGACGACGTTCACAGGGGTCGGTTTCATGATTTTGAGTAATGGATGACATCACTGAAAAACCACAACACTTAAAAAGGTATTTATAAGCATTTTAAAACCTTGTCGATACCCTCGACTTTTACAAGGTTTTAGAAATGCTGAATTTTAGTGTTGTGGTTATTCACTGATGTTAGGCATAACTCAAAATCTCGAAACCGATCCCCTGTGTGATGACGTTGACTAACTTGGTAATTTCGTATCTAGAATGGCGCTTACAATAATTTTGTGGTACCTACACATCTTATAATAAATTAATATTGTCATAATTTGTCAAGTTGCTTTATTTTTTTGCGATGACCTATATTGCTAAATGCTAACGAACCCAGAATGTTTCCGACTATAGGCCTATTGATACCGAAAGTATCGGGCGGCCATGTTTGTTTATTCCTACACTGGCCGTATCACTGTAAATTGTAGTATACAGTCTCATATACTGCAATTTGGTTTACTAACGACATATAGGCAAATGCAACACAGAATGTAAATATAATATAATAAATAAAACATATAGAAATATTTCGTCTGGTCGGAAACTCAAATCATATGTTAAATTTTAAAATGTAAGAAAACTTCATGCATACAGTTTGAAAATCAAATACATCTTTGTTATATAAACCTAATTTGAAATTACATTTGTTTGTGAGCGTTTTATTTATCATATCAGACTATGATTAACTGTTCTCATAAATAGCATAGCAAAAAGAGATATCTTATTCATCTTCCCTTTTCAAACTCATAAAATATGATAGATTGGATCAAAAGGATGAGAAGGGGGGTTCTAAGGCCTTATATCCAATTGATATATTGATTGTTTACACGTAAATACGATAAACAGCCAATCTATATATGTACTGTATAACAATACTATATGGATGTGAAATCAAGTTTTTTCATAAGCTATAACACCGTCTCAAATTGAAATATCACATGTTATGTCACGAACATACATATACTCGCGTCATTACACACGGAATTGACCTGTATTGTTTATTTCACCAACAAATATATACTCAGTTTAAATGGCATTGCACACGACATGGATATGTATTGTAACACCGGACCACAAGCAACAAAGTACCCTTTACGATAAAATCATCACTAGTAATAGATATGTTGTATTTGTTATAAAATCAACACTAGTAACTAACATGTGTAACTTGTTATAATAGTACTAGACATGTGATCCACGTGTATAATCCGTTATCAATTTACCAGCACTCATGAAATGCATATGTGTCATATGTAATAGCACACATGTAATGGATTTAACACATTTGTAATAACACTAAACAATTGATATTAAGCATGCGTCGTTATCACAACATGGTATATGTAATAGCCATATAGCGTTTGTTACAATATATTATACAAGCATATGCGTAATTGAGTAGGTTGCACAACAAAAGCTCGGAGACCCTCCGTTAACAAGTTATATAATTTTCTTTTCTTTTCTTTCCTTTTCTGTTGTTGTTGACATTGAAGCGTATTTCCATTTATCAACATTGGAATACATTCAATTTCATATAAAAATAGAGACAGTTAACACGATGTATACATTCTATATAAATCATAATCGTACCAGTATGCTAATCATTCAATACTATTCTCTATAACAGGTTGAACTAGATAAATATAGGACAAAAATAACTACTCACCATCATCATAGTTCGGTGGAAGAAATCTCAATTCTGGAGTGAATGATTTTCCCCATGATGGATTATCAATGTTGTTGCAATTGCCATCAGCTGGTTCGGTAAGGATTCAGTAGATTACAAGATACGTCCGTCTTAAAACATGTATCGACCATAATCTTCTTAAACATTTGCACAATTCTTGTGTTTTTACGCATTACCGGAACGGATGCATTGGTTCTGAAAATAGGTTTGGAAATGTTGTTTTTATTCAAAGCTTGCATGAAGATTCATGGAAAGTTCAATGCACTTTTTATCTTATCTTTATTATCACATAGTAGCTTTTGTATATCTTTAGCATTGAAACATTGTTAATTTTAAACTTTATTTGCGTTTGTTTTTTAACATAATTAACGCGAAAAGACAAAAAGAAGAAGACTCAAATAAAATAACAGATGTAATGGTGGCCAGAATTTTTCGAAAATACGGACAACATTCTGATAATTGTTGTTTTGTTTTTTTGTTTTTTTGCAAAAACAACTGCAGCGAACAGAACTGCTTCAACTGAGTTAAATAATATTACAAGAAGTAACGATCAAACGAATTCAATACAATGCACATTACATTGGCACATACCATATAATATTATTTAGAAGTATTTATTTGAATCTCAATTTAAATCAATACAGTGTTGTGCTTAAGAAAATCTACCACTGTTTTGTTTCCGAAAACAGAATATATATATCGACGATTCAAGAAAAAACACAATCATAAATGTTTCTACGAGATCATGTCTTCAATAATCAAGATATTTAACAGGATTGAAATTAAATTAATCGCAAACTGTAAGTTCGTAATGCCTTCCGATTATTTAAAAATATTCTGATAGTTCTTTTTTACCGTTTGTAAAATAATCTGCATGTCCTTGACTCCTTAGCGTAACTACTATTTACTTCAGAACAAGGCTAAAAATAAATCAATTAAACAAATGTTAACCCATTCTGATCTGCGGATGAAATGAGAAAAGTAAATTTGGACAATTATTCGTTATTAGTTTTTCCGAATAATGAATACAAGTCCACCTTTACCTTGCCCATTTAATGTCTAAATATCAATAAATACCACAAATGCACTGTATCAATATATCAATCTTAGCAGTAGCGTGTTACATATACTTATATGATTACAGATGCGATTGCAAATATTTACACCCTGACTATCGCTTGAGTTGCAGCAAGATTAATGGTAGCCATGTTTGCGATCTCCCTGGCCTGATCATCTTCAAATCCGAAGAGAAGTAGCTGTTGTCCACTTGTTAAAGTTCTGCTTTCTGTTCCTGTATTAACGGCTGCCACAGCTAAAGCAAGAACAGCGTAGCAGTGTTTATTTGCAGACTTATATACATATACGCTATTCATGGTGTATTTGATATTGACTAAACTTACTTAACTTGATTTAACAGTTTTAATACAACAACATATCGTTGTACATAATCTTTAATCTCATATTTCTTTTAGATGACGCGATTCACGCCATATAACATGTTGCTTTTATAGACATTATTTCCATTTGAAATACAACATAGAAATTCGCAAATAGAGGGAAATGTCACATTTTTTTGTACGTGTATGAGAAGATTTATTTACTTTCTGCGTGTCTGCGTTTGCGTCAACACGAAGTAACAGCTTTGTGTGACTTAAGGTGAAAGGAAACTCACGTAAACTATACGGAAGTTCAATGAAAAGATGTTTAAATAGCAAAGACTAAGCTGCAAATCTGCTTTTGTATATAGTTCGGTTCCGTTTCCTTGTAAATCAGACACGATCCGAGGATACATACTTTGATTTTCTTTCCTTGTAATGATGTTAACAATATGAAGCCTATCCATGCATGTTTATACAGCTGTAACTAACTAGATATATGGTACATATAGTATTACTGAGACGGTTCCATCAGATGATTTTTTTTTTTTTTTTTTCTTGTTAAAAAATCATAACGTACATAAAATTATGGTCATGTTTATGCAGTTTTTTAACGATTCCATCAAAATCATAGTGAAATTGTTTTTTTTAATTTAACTTCTGGTAATCACGTGAATTAGTTATACATTTCTAAAAAAAATATTTAATTTTTAGTTTTTAACAAATGAATATTTAAGGAAAAGAAACTCGTTTTATAGCATGGGTATAAAAGATTCATTCAGGTTACCAATATTTTCCAGCTGATTCTAATTCTTTGTTTTTGTATCATTTTATGTTAAATGCATTGATTAGTACGGACTATAAACCGTGATGATAAATTGCCTGGGGTCATGTCTTCCATGGAGTCTCGTGCTGTTGTTAGAGCATCTCTTATCAAGGTTTCCATTTCTTTGTCACTCATCTTCATCTGTGGCATCACCGGAGAGATGAGGAGAGCTTCCCAAATCAGGAGACCAAGACAAAACTGCTTCATGTTTATTGAATGCATCTAGAACAAACATAACTTGTGTAAAATGAATTATAAAACTTACATGAACACCTGTATTTGTCATTAAAATAAAAAAGTATATTTTAGCTCAAATATGCTACGAATACGAAGAAAAAGCGTCCAATAAGGACAGAAAACGTTCTCAAAGGGCCAATTTAGCCAATTTTGCATTGCCCAAAACGGCGCCCCCAACCATGGCAACGGAACCTTCTAGTATACAATTGTAATTGCTTTTTGTAGAGCCACCATGGCTATGTAGATTACTGTGAAATCAATAATTTTCGTGGTGTTTTTAATTTCGATGATGGAGTTAGCAATCTTCAACCACGAAGTAGTTTATGTTGTACATGTACTCCAGTCTGCTTCACACGAGTCGCTTTACACAAGTAATACATTATTGCAATGTTTAAATATAAATTAATCACATTGTTAACAGTGTCCGCCATTGATATGCTACGTCTAAACCGTCTAATACATTGTATGTTTCATACTCGTATGCTTTCTTTAGATATACTTTGTTGAGGTAATGTTAATATCAAAATTACGGCCGCAGTGGGCTATCATATTGATAATGTGGACATTGAATTTCTAGAGTGTACCAGCTTACAGGGTATAAAAATAAAATGCGATATATTACTTCTCTTTTAATGTGCTTGTGACGAATTTAAAGGAAAATATGGTTATCTACAGTCATTTAACAATGCTATAATTTTTACAACGGTTGAAAACCTGAATCGACAATGAAGGATTCCAAAATATGGGAAAATAACATGTGTTTACGGCAGCCTGATCATCATTGAGCACAGGTGGAAACTAATGTTATCAAAAAATAGGCCACTAATTGACCCCTGTTGGCAAGACCCTCGTTAGACGTGATTCAAAGAAAGTGGCGGTCACTTTTCGTTTGTTTTGTTGATATATAGTATGCATCAGTATTTTGAAACATAAATAATATCAATGAAAGGTGGATTGGGTGACCTTAACTAAATGGGTTTTAAGTCTATAAAACTACACAAACATATGAGTTATACAGTATAACCCCGATGTATCGCTACCCGTTGTACCGCCAAACTCGCATACCGCCATCAATTGTGTCAGAACCGATTTCCCCACACTTACAATTGCAAATGCACCCGTTGTACCACCAAACTCGGGTACACCTGTACCGCCGTATGCCACAATTTTTTGAGAACAGTCGTTCAAAAACCTCTTTATTGGCCCCCGACAACACCGCCACGCTCTATCAAAGAAATTTACCTTTCTTTGGAATTATGAAGCGGGAAGCATGGCTTCGTGTCTGATCACGTGCGTAAATCCTGCCGTCTGATTGGTGGGGTTTTCAACGGGTTCTCCAGGGAGGGCGTGTTGTTTTTTTACGTATGTTAAGACCAAAGTAGGGTTGAAATATGCATTATAATGACTGTGGTAAGTATTTATAATAGAAATTGGTTTCACAAGAGAAACCTCAAATATCGTTTATTTCACTGTTGACTCAGTCCCGGGGGCCAATTTTAGATGTTGTATGTGTGTCTAATCAATTTATTAATATACATCTGAATACATTTTACCATATTACCTCTGTCGGTTATTAATTCATTCATTCACATCATATGACTTCTCACATGGCTTCTCAAAAATAGGCAACAGGTTGTGAAGATATTCAATTTATTTTACAATTAAACGCCGGACTGTGGATGATAATTGCACCAACAAATCGAAATTGATTTGATGAGACCGACGAGACGCCGCCGTTATACTCACCATGCGAATACTGTATTGTTTTGCCACGTGACTATGACGTACTGGCTGGTGCGGAAGCAGATTTCAGCGATCGCCGTGTTACAACAGGTCCAAACGGACTTTATCTCGATCCCGATTTACGTTTGACTATCAGACCGTTTATTGAAATGATTAGATGCTGGCAAACCACTCAGTTATAATCGGATGAGGACAATCTTGATGTAAAAAAAATCCCGACGAGACGGAATCTTGACGATGTCCGCCTGGGTTGTGCGGCAGAGAAACAGGATATTTAGACGGTTCTTTACTAAGTCGAACACTTACACTTGACTACGTAGTCTAACGTACAGAAATGATGGCATTTGCAGTAGAGAAATGCGAAAATTGTAACCGCTATGCAGATATTACTTGACGATTGTAAGGAAATCTGTAAATACGGGCACGTAAAACTGACTCTCGCCGCGGTACTCGTAAAGTGAATATCTTGCGTGTGACACACTGACCGTAAAACCAGATCTAAATCATTATTTCCGAACTTCTTATTCTTTCAAAAACGATGTGTATGTTAAAAAAAATGTGTGCAGTTAAATATTGCACATATACGTGTATATTTGAGTTTCCATTGGTGTTGGATGTGTGCCCCAAAACAAACAAGCGTTCATCAACCTGTCATTTAACAGTGACAACTCGTTGTACCGCCAAACTCGTTGTACCGCCAAAATGTCTTTGAACGGAAGGTGGTGGTATATCAGGGTTATACTGCTGTACGTATATACTAGAATATATCGTTTACATGATTAGTCTGATATGTAATCCAAAAGGAAGGACAGCATTAACAAGAATGTGTAATATGTCGAAATAATAATTAATTCATAATAATAATTGGGTCGTTAGTTTGAATATTTTTCATTGTGGATATATTTTAAAGATCCCTGTATCCCTGTATACCTGCCCAAACTAAAACAAAGTATTGAAAACTGTTAAAAAAAATTGTCATGACTATAACGCTGCCGGGGTGAGACCGGGATCGAACCCTTGATTTCAGATTATTATACTAACGCTGTAACAGATTGAGTATCCTGGTCAACGGAAGTGTAAATGTGCTACAAACGGAGGTAATGGGGAGGTCACTGTGTGTAGAAACAAACGGCAGCGCATTGGGATAGGGATCCTTTAGTTTATCAAATAAAACATTGTCTTTAAAATTAGGATATTGAAGGAAAATAGTTTGTATTTCTATAAGATGCATTTGTTTTAATTTTAAACTTAAATGAATAAAAAGAAAAAATAAGAGAATATTTAATGTCATCGAAACCGTAAAAAAGATCGTAAAATTAGGACAAAACAGGACCAATGGAGGTATTTACTTGATTACCTTTACAAAGGGCAAGGATAACAAGATAAGGGATTTCAGAAAAGTATCCACCGTCTACATTATCGCTAATACCCGCCCTGTCAAATCAGGTAAACCATAGTAATGTAACTTCTTCAAAGTAAATACGTTAAGTTTGGTTTGGTTTGGTTTATTATTGTTTAACGTCCTATCAACAGCTATCGGCATTTAAGGACGGCCTCCCCTGTGTGCAAGATGCATGCATGTAGTGCATGCGAAAGTGTTTTGGGAGGCTGCGATATGTTTGTGTTTGTCTCGTTGTGATAGCTCGGAGCTGATGTCGACTTTATAGTGCTACCTCACTGAAACATACTGCCGAAGACACCAAGCAGGACACCCCACCAGGTCATATTTCGTAAGGATACATCTATATAAACAAAATATATAAATACATTTGAACACTCAATTAACTAATATAAATATTCTTATGTAAATTTCGTATCTCAATTTAACGTTGCAGCTGTAAGTTTAATGTATTTCAAATAAATCAAAACCACGCTTTGCTCGCAATGAAAATACAATGCTTAAATTTATTAATAAAATTTGCAATGAATATTTTAATAGAGATAATCCTTTTCCTTGATTAAGATTATTTCATTGAAAAAGTTTGAAAACTACCTGAAATTAATGGCATTGATAATATCAACATTTCAGATGACGAATTTGCTGCCTCAGCCTTTTTTTGCTGTACAAAAAAGGGCTAGAAATAGTTTCATTCCGAATATACTGTAACCATACGTAGATTCTTGTGAAAGCAGTTTAGTACCGTACTTCGTGGAAATATAAACACTTCAAGAACTCAAGCACTGTATTTGTTAGTTACTTTCCATTATTGTTGACGTAAACCGTACATTCGTCAAGTTTATGAGAAAGACTTTCAACTACATAATAATATATAAGATATAATAATAACGGTTTTCTTTTATTTCTTTTATTATTTTAAAAGTATTAAAATAATATTTGAACATTTAATAAAATTAATCGTTTTTAATCAGATATGAATTCAGTGGTTGACAATAATGATGACAATTGTAACTTTTGTTGGGGCGATACAATCATTATTCATCCAAAAATCAAATCATGAAAGTGTAAAATGTGATAAATACAAAAGATATTACGAAATGTTATCAAATTAAATGTTCTTACCTTTGGTTTAAGTCAAGTTAAAAAAAACCAAGATAAACTGTGGTCCCTTCACTTCCAGGATACATGCCTCCTACAACCTCAAGTAGGACTTTGTATGCAAACCCAGTATTTATTAACAGGCAATCTGTCGCAATAATGCTTTTGATATTATTTCTGTTGGCAATCCTTGTAGTAATGAAAGTTACATATAAAGCACTTGCATGGGTGCTTAGCATATTGCAATAAAGATGTTTTGTATTTGATACATATAAATACATGATTCTTAGGTATATTTTTGTGTGAAGTAATACCAATGCGACAGCTTGCATCCATGTTGCATGAGACCAACAGAAGCCAAACGATTATTACCGATAACAGAGTGTACTTTAATATTAAAATAGATTTATGCGACATTGATGAACTTATGTACGAAAAGAAATCATTGTAAAATTGATTGAATGATTTTTGGTTTTTCAAAAATTGTCATCGACTTGTAGTCAGCGAAGACGCAGCTTGGCAAACTTATGAAGTTTGAATTAATTATTTGCTTCCATATGCATATAATGAACGTAAAGCAAGTGATTTTATTATTATATTTTTCCTTTTTATATTTACACGAAAATGGAATAATTTATGGATAGTGTATTTTGTTAAAACATGGAGTTCACCTAACATCGGATATTTTGCCTTCGGTATTCTTAAAAACTGTAATATTCACATGTATGCA